TCTGAAGTGACCTTCTACATACTTGTAGTGTAAGACACTCCAATAAACAGGGCTTCAGTTAAGGTCTTCAGGTTTGTAGTCATAATCCTGCAAAAATGAGAGAACTTCCACTGGCTTTACTGAGCTTAATACACTGATCTGTCATGTCTAGCATAATTTATGTGAACTCTTTTCTTCGCTGTAAATTAATTTCAGATTTCCACAGAAACAAATTTAGGCAAATATGCAACCTGACTTCTGAGTTTACAGTTAGTTAATCACTTCCAATGACACTCACTAGAGGGAAATTATGGAGAACTTTATAAATTAGATTTACCTTCTATAGCTGCTATATCAAGCTTGGCATTTAGCAGTCTGGGGCATTACTGGACTAAAGAAGAGAATTAACATTCACCATAGTCAAAAAATAAGCAAATGAGGTAACAAAGCCCATTAAAATACCAGTCAGCTACAGCTACTTCATACAAAACATTGTCATACCTGTACGACTTTGAACACTTTCCTAGTGTTGGTGTCCAAATATATTTAGACCCTTGTCTGGATTTATGCAAATAATACTGTAGCTCTCAGACATTTTTGTCATATCAATGCCTTTCTGCATTTCCTAAATCTACTTTTGTATGTTTAAATATCTACTGTGAATCATTTTACATTAGCTCAACTGCATTTCATTTTACCAGTGTTATTTATTCTACCCTCCTCTGTCATTTATCAAAACAGTTTCGTAGTCTACTATATCCTCTACGGATGCATAATCCCTCCCAGCTTTATATCACCTTAATATTAGGTTGGTAAGTCTCTCCACAGTTGTTAATTGACCTCTCTGGTATCCTATTCCAAGCATCCTCCCAAGGTAATGATGAAGTATTACAATTACCACATTTTAAATAATTTTTAACTGTTATCACACGCAGCATTAGCTTTAAGAAAGCAATGTGGTTTCCACTTTGAAGTCCTCATAAACCCATGTCCTCATAAAAAAAAACAAAAAACAAAAAACAAAAACCACGGTTTTGACTAATCTATGCTGTTTAAGATGTATATAAATGTACATAATCAGAAGTCAAGTGCTTATTTTTTATAAGCATTATGAAAGTCTGTATTTGGTGCACAGTGGTTTGCAGTCCCCTAGATCTTCTGTTGTTTTTCACCTGTGTTATGTGACAGACAAACTACTTGATCGAAACAGGTCCTCCTGGCTTTGGCACTTAGTCATCTTCCATTGTACAGGAATACTTTAGTGAGCTCAAGTGCCATAAATTCACTACTTTTGCTAAAATGACTACCATTCTGACTGTGAGGTAATGGAATTTATTTTTTTCTAAATAAGATATGTCTTGTGGGAATCTGTTCAAGCTCTGAAATACCACCCTACAAAGCTATTTAAGGTGCTGGAGCCACTTAATGAATCCCAACTGCTTCTAGTTCACAACCAGAAGCAGCAATAAGCTGCAGCCCTGAAAGAACACACTGTTCACAGGAAAAATACATACACCTGGCAAAGGGCAGATCCCCCACCACCACCAGAACAAAAAAACCAAAATGCCAGGGAAACAAAAACAAAAGCAAGCAAGCAAACAAACAAACAAACAAAAAAGCACACAATGACTGACAACCTGGTGGGGAGAAAAAAATGGTGCCAGCTCCTGTCTCAAGAAAAAAAAAAAAAAAAAAAATACAAAAGGTTCACACAGCAGCTCCAGCAAAACAGATGGGAACCTGGTGAATCTCTGGTGTTGGTCCCCTCTTCACAGCAGGTGAAGGAGGTGGATTTAGTCCTTTTTCTCACTGGCATGGCTTTTCCGAGGTCTGGGGCCTGAGATGGAGCTGGCCCCAGGCAATTCTTCTCTCACTGGTCGTTCTCTCAGATCTCAGACCAAAACAAAACCAAACCACTCAGTTCACTTTGGGAAAAAAGCCACCCAAGGATTGCTGCAGCAGCCTCTCCAGGGCCAGGGAAAGTTAAAAAAACCTTCTTGCCTAAGCTAACAAAAAACAAGCTAGCTAAAGAAAA